ACAAATACTTAGTTACTGTACTTAAGTACATTTTTCTGGTATCAGTACTTTACTCCACTACTTATTTTTCTGACGACTTTTTACTTTGACTTCTTACATTTTGAACACAAATACCTGTACTTTCTACTTCTTACATTTTAAACATAAATACCTGAACTTTCTACTTCTTACATTTTGAACCCAAATACCTGTACTTTCTACTTCTTACATGTTGAACTCAAATACCTGTACTTTCTACTTCTTACATGTTGAACCCAAATACCTGTACTTTCTACTTCTTACATGTTGAACACAAATACCTGTACTTTCTACTTCTTACATGTTGAACATAAATACCTGAACTTTCTACTTCTTACATGTTGAACCCAAATACCTGTACTTTCTACTTCTTACATGTTGAACTCAAATACCTGTACTTTCTACTTCTTACATGTTGAACCCAAATACCTGTACTTTCTACTTCTTACATTTTCCAAACAGGCTGGTTCCTTTAGTTTGAATGTGTGTTTGGTGGCGTGATCATTATTATTTAGAGTCATTGCGTGCCTATTGATTTGAACACGATCCGTGTATCCATCATTTCCTGGTCTTCTCTAAAGAAGAGGGACCAATGAAAACGTTGTCATGTTGCCGTTGGTCACCATGGAAACATTCATTAGCTAACAATGACATTATTGTTCTATTAATATAAAGGGAGGTCAGGTACTCTTTAAAACAGCTGCTAGTTATGGGTACTTTTTACCGAAGTACATTTCAAAGCCCTCTTTACTTTTACTTGAGTAAATTATGTGTGTACTTTTACCATCTCTGGTCACAGGTATGATTATGGTATATTTGAGCATACGTATTTTACTAACATTAGATACAGAGGATTTAAGGCTTCATCACTCCACCTTAGTGAAAATATTCAAACTATCTCAGGCTCCTCAAGACATTCCTGAAACTGCTTCAAGCTGCAGAAAGTAGACGGAGGTGACCTGCGGTTTCATTTCCTGTTGGGATGTTGTCAGAAGAAAGAGACATATTTTGAGTCTTCCTCATCTGTGTAACTCCTAACAGATGGTGAGGAAGAAGCATTCGTCTACGCCTTCCTCCACGACCTCTGACCTCAGCGACGACCCCGACACGGAGGAGGCTCTGAAGGGCTTCGATTTCTTGGCGAGTCCCGACGAGTTGGACGGATCGACTGAGTCCAGGAGCGGAGAGGACAGTGGAGAGTGGGGTGAGACTTACAAAGAAACTGTAAAAAGGATATTCAACCAATTGCAATGTGGGTGTGTAAATTCCTTTAAACCAGGGGGGTCCAAACTATTTCTGAATCGGCCCTCACGTAGCAAATAACAAAAGTATAATGACTTAAGTATAATAAACTTCTGCTTGTCTTATATCGTACTTCTTCGTATTCATGTGCTAATAAGCCCAATTTCAATTAAAGTTGAAAACATGTTCTAACAAATCTAAGTTGATAAGAAAAAAGCCCAATAACACATTTTCACAACAACCTTGAAATACACCCTTCATATTTCCTCTTATTATAATCAATCTGAAGCTTCTGATTTAAGAAATGAGCTGCTAACAAAATACATGAAACCCTCTGGAGAGCTGTGAGCTGTTTTTCTCTTACAGCATTTTCAAGTATCAAGAATAATTGACCTACTTTTCCAACTTATAACTGAACTTATGAGGCAGTATACCTCGAGTGAGCGGCCCAGCCCTTCGTATATTTTTCTGTATGTGATCCTCGTGAAAAAGTTTTGGACACCCCTGCTTTAAACTGTACGTCTGCAGGTTTCAGTTTACGTCAAGAAGACATTTAAACATGGAAGAGCCACCAAGATAATCTGTATTTGACTCTTTTTTTGTATTAATTTATTCATGTTTTCTTTTCCAGAGTGACTTCCTACTTCAATGTACCAATAAAAAAGAATAAATTGAGTGTTTACATCTGATTGAAAAACATGAAAAAGCACCCGTATAAACCTGAAATCTTCTTAGTCGTAAAGAAAACGTTTTTTCAACGTTAAAAATCGATATGATTATCCTACACGATAATTACAATTTGACACTCATGTCTTTTATTCCAGAGTTTACTTCAAAGCACCAATAAGAAAAACAATAAGAATCTTAAAACGTTGTAAAAGAGTTAACAATCAAAAGACGTGGACAAATGTGAGTGTGCAGATTCCTTTAAACTAAACGTCTGCAGGTTTCAGTTTACGGTTGGAAATGAAGTCAAGAAGACATTGGGAAGACCATGATAATCTGAATTTGACACTTTGAATCTGAAATCTGTCTTTTTTCCAGAGTTTACTTCAAGGCACCAAATGAAAAAGTGTAAAATGCCGTATGCAGTTGACAAACAAATAAAATGTTGTAAACTGTTCTTAGTAAAAGAATAACTTTTTATCAATATAAATGAATATCCTGCTATTCATCTGTGTTACAGTGGAGGGTTAGTAGTGAACAATTTTTTAGTTCTGACCAAAAGTGCTCTTTTTTCTGAGATTAAAGTCAGATCTCAAAAAGTTTCCTAATCCAACTTGATCTAGAATTAAAACCCACACAAAACACATTTAGACTTGGGCACAGCCATCAAAATAATCTTCATTTGACTCTTTTCCAGAGCTTGATTCAATGTATCACTTAAAAAAGTGTCAAACTCCATGGAAACAGCTGATTACAAAAACATGACAAAGCCCCAGTATAAACCTGAAAACCTTCTAAGTCGTATAAATAAAAGGTTGTATCAACGTCCTGCAGCCACCACGATAATTAATTTTTGACCCTCATAACTTTTATTCAGAGCTTACTTCAAAGCACCAATTAAAAAAAACGTGAATTTAGTGAGTACGGCTGATTGAAAAACACGAAAAATATCAGTTTGAACCTGAAATCGTTGTAGTACAAATCAATGTTACAAATCTACATCGTGACTGTGACTGCGATGGACTATACTTAACTGGACTACATATATATATACATACAGGGGCGGATCTACGGGGGGCAAGGCTCTACAGTGGGGAGGCAGCTGCCCCCCCCTTGCCCCCCCCCACTGTAGAGCCTTG